TCAAGTCATTGTGGATATTTTCAAAATATCAATAGTTACTTGTTGAAATTTGAAATTCCCACGCAATTAACACATTCGAGACCGGTAACGCAGTACTACGTGATTTTAAATTTTTTTAGAAGAATGCTGGTAGTTTTAAGATATTTTATATTTTTTAGAAAAATACGGGTCACTTAATACGTCATTTCAGAATATGCATATTAATGTTTTTAGTTAAAGATTGATAATATAGTTCTATCATACATTCTTTATATTTGTACACATTCGAATAACAGACCGTTAGAATATTCAGCTATAGACTCTGAGAAATTATGTACTGTCGCGAATGTGTTAAATATGCTTTCAAATTGTACATCAATCTGATCGGAAAGCAAATGTCTGCATAAGAACATCGTGAATATATAGTTTACAACCTAATAGAATAACAAACAAATTTCCAAATAACGTTGTTTCTTATTTCCAGAGTACGGATGTTTATCCATTTATAGTATATTTTAATTTACAAAACACAATGGAAAACGAATTAAAATGAACTTTTATAAAATTGCAGTAACATTTTCTTTATAACTTTCTATTAACCCCTCGAAAACTTCAAACCAAATCTGTCAAAAATAAATGTCATTTAATTCATCCAAATCCAAATTGAACATTATTTTTTATTATTAATTATGGTACATTAAACTAAACGCAGGCACAGAACAAGCGTGATGTTTTTCCTTTCGTTTATAAACAATACAACCCAATAAATTCCAATTGTAAAAAATAAAATCTCCCGAACGGAGTTCCGGAATAAATCATAGTGCAAAGGGTTAATTAACATTATATTTCATTAAAATGTTCATATTATTCGAAATATAAGGTAAAGGCACCAGTAATTGACCTAGTATCAGTAGTTGGCTATTTTTCAGGAAAACGTAAAGAATAAGGTTTTTAAAAGTAATAATCTTTCGACAAAGGCGCGATAGGTATGCTGCAGTATCTACGGACCCAACTCCGAAACACTTTTACCTGAATGAAATTCTTTATCGTAAAAATTAACGATTTATTTAATTGACGTTGATTGTATGCCTCCAATTTCTAACATGTATTTGTATTTGTTATTTTGCCTGTAATTGGTCATAATCCTTGCAAATAAAAAATATTAAAGTAACTATCTTTAGTGTTTTTAGTTTTACTATAAGTGGTCTAATTGCTAACACATGGTCAATTACTAGTTTTCTCGCTTTCAAGGATGGTCAACTTCTGACGCAAGTATTGAATTTTCAAAAATGTCTATAAAATTTGGATAATATATAAAAATATTCGAAAAAAGTTCGATTTGTTGCATAACGTAAGAAGTTACTATATTCAATAAAGGAGCAAGCGTTTGTTATTGTTTACGCAGAATATCTTTTTTAACTGGTCAACCATTGGTGCTTTTACCTTAATTAAATGTTTTCTTAAGAAAATAAGTTTCTGTTGGGTATGGATCATGAAGAAATTACCAGCGAAGCCTACAAACCACATAATCATCCGCAGTCTGCTTATTTCGTTTCATTCGAGCCGACATATTTTCTTGAACTGTTCCATTATTCTCTTGAGGAACAGGGCATGCTGGGAAACTCATACAACGTAAATTGGATCCTTGCAAACCGATATCCTGGCTTCTTGAAGAATCCTTAGCCTCGGGCCCAGGGGCACCCCCATTTTTTGTAACCTCTCCTCGCTCAAATAGGGAAGCTCAACCATTCCAACTTTTTCCTTTTCAAACGCGTTCGCATATTTCTGAAATAAATAAAGCTTGTGTCACTCGTTGGTTGAAATCAACAATGAACAGGTATTTTATTATAATCCGTTAACCATTCGATTATTGTCTGCTCTTAAAGGTGCTTTTAGAATTTACTTTCGAAGCACTGTTGGCGCCTACAAGTGTTTAACTTATAATTAGTTTGGTCTGTTAACGGTAGAACTACCGAACAGTCAAGTTGCATTTTTCTAATTTTTTTTTATTGAAACGCTAAAAGTGAGATTCCGACTGAATTATAATTCATTTTAATTGTTATGAAAAGGATTTCTTCGATAATTCCTTAGAGAATAATTTTTTATCATTTCAATATTTGGAAAAGAAAAAGTCAGGAACGGGTCATTTTGATTTTCTTTTATTTTTCTGGAGATATTATAACAGTGTATTAATCCCTTGCGGTGAAATGACGGATCCATAAATCTCGCTAAAGGCTCACTTGCCAAATTGATTAACTCCGTAGAACAAAATGTGGTGGAAAGTGAAAAAATAATACACTATGTTTTCTAGAATTTCTTTTAAATTATAATTTAAATACACATCGTACAATGTACTATTACACGTGTATCTTTTATTTAACGACACATAAAATGTATAAAATAGAATATCCTTGGAGTAATCGTTATTATTGCTACAATTTTTGTATGATTAAGGAAGTTAATCGATTTGGCAAGTGGAAAAAACATCAAATTAAATCTGTACTTTTTACATTACAGAAAAACTTTATTATATAATGTTATAACGGTAAATTTTATCCTCTCTTTAAAAACTGACACTAACACTGAAATAATTGTTTAAAAATTCACAAGTAACTGCATTAGTAGCAGTTTGCTTATGACAGATTAAATATTTCTTAAATTTTATTTGTTTTTGTGATGATAACAACAACAATAGACAATTTGCTGTTATCATTTTGTATTAGACTACTGCATTAAAAAAATTCTGAAGTAATTTTTATTACATATTAATCAAATTAGCGAAGCGTATGGAATTATTTAGATTCGCATCTCAAATAAATAATTTAATATTCATTGATCAACAAAATTTTGTCAGTTAGTAATGTTAATTCTTATTAATAGAGAAATTTGTTTGAAATATAAATAGTTAGGAGTAAATCAAGTGCTTTGACAGTAATATTTAAAAAAATTCAAAAGATAGAGTTAATTTGACAGGCGAGCCATTTAAATACCTTCTTGCTATTGGCAAGAACAATTTTTATTCAAATCTGTTAAATGATTTCAATTGAAGTTAATGAAAAAGATTATGCTTCTAGTTGTGTCTAGGCGGTTGCTCAAGTGTTAAAGGAAAGGAGATCCTTTTCTCCATCCTAGGTGATGATGAAAACCATCAAGCTTCAGTACGAGGCTCACGTGAAAAACTTAATCAAATTTTTTGTCGAGACACGAGTTGACCGTGTCGACTACCAATGGTAGTTCGTCACAGTATTATTACCTCTGTTCGTCCTTGATTGTGGACCGATACTCTAGAAAACTACCCTTATATATAACCAGACAACAGATGATTAAAAAAACTAAAATTTTAATTAACATGATAATGGCTGTTTGACAATTCTGTCACTAACAGTAGTAAATGAAAAAAAACAATTTACAGAACAATGTGCTTGTAAATAAATGTTTGCAATTACATTAATTTATCCCTGAAAACAAGATACATCTTTGTAAGAGTGTTCTAGATCGTATTCATTAGTTTAAATTATTTTAACACATTATATGTGAATAAAGTATGATAATGGACTTATTAAAGTTAATCAATTTATATTACAGTTATACGATATTAAATTTAATCAACTTATCAAAGTTGAACAATGTTTTTTGTAAACAAATACACGGTCACCGGTCAGGAAAGTGTTACGTCAATTTCGACGAGAAAGTAACATATAACAATAAACGTTTATTCGAGGTTTTCATTCATATGGAATTCACTGTAATGAAAACGTTAATCTTACAATAAGTAAAAGATTGAAACAGTTCACGTACCTCATACCCAAGTTCCCTCAGGAAGAGTCTGATAAGAGGTGGTTCCGTGCCGAAAAACTTGGTGAGCTTTTTCACCCTGGAAGGATTTGAGAGGGCTGGTAACTCGGAGTCCTTGATCAGTGGCTGTGACTGCGACCTCACCATCGCCATGCTCGTTTGCGTTCTCAGCGCCGCAATCTCGCCTCTTATGTTCTCCATTTCCTGCGAAAACCTGGTAGTACTGAATTTTGGAAATTCTAATTTCTCCTTGTGCCTAATTTACCCTTTTTACAATTTTGAAGTGACAATGAATCTATTTTACAATTGTTGCCTTGTGGCTATTAATTGTATTACACCAAGATCAATGAGGATTTTCTCTCTCTTTAATTATTGAATTTTTTAAATTCTAATTCTCTTTTGTGCCCAATTTACTATTTTCAAAATTTCGAAGTGACAATGAGTTTATTTTACAACTGTTGCCCTGTGGCTATTAATTGTAAACTACCGGGATTAATGACAATTTTTTCCCTGTAATTATTGAATTTTTTAAATTCTGATTTCTTTTTGTGCCTAATTTACTCTTCCTAAAACTTCGAATTGTTTTTATCTTATAATTGCTGCTTTGTAACTACTAATTGTAAGTCACTCAAACTATTGACGATTTTTGTCTTTTCAAATGCATGCAATATCATTTAAGTGTAAATGTGCAATATGGCTGTAAACATGTTTCACTCCATGCATTACGTAACCCTTCAAATGACGAATTTCGAAAGTAACACCCGGTATATTAAAGTGATTCAACCCATCATTCCTATAGGGTGTTTAAAAAAAGATTGAATAATTTAATGGCAGATAATATTCCTTAAATAGTTAAATATTCATAAGATAAATATTCGCTTCTAAATATTAATGAGATTTTCTCACCTGTATCATCAAATGCTGCGTCCTCATCTCTGAACTTAAATGTGCTACTGACCTAGCCAGCGTAACTACATGAGATTCTAATCGTTGAAAGCGCTTATTAATGCTCTGTAAACAACAATTTTAGACAATGAAGAGAATGTAAAAAAAACATAGGCTTGATTTTTTTTGTATTTATAATTCAATACTAATATTACAATGTTATTAATGATATTATTAATTATTAATATTAGTAATTATAATATCAGTACTTAATTAATCTAAAAACATTCCATAAAAGATTTCTTTTCTCGAGAATTCAGAAATAAGAATTAGACTACTATTATTACGAATTAGTTAATTATAATTTAATTAACATCGTTACATAAATTAGAAGAATAATTTAACGTAAAAATCTCTTGGCAAATAAATAAGAAAAATAAAGTCACTAAAAGAAAAAGAAAAAGAAAAATGGTAAGTATACTTCAATATGTATATAAGCATACGTCAAACGAAGAATGTCAAAGTGGTTATTTTTATCATTTCGACAGATCGAGTATTAAAATGGTAACGTATAAATATAAATGAAATTTCTTAGTTATAACCAAATATAAATAATCGTAATACATACAATACAATCGTCATAGTCTGGTTATTGTAATATTTTTATATATTATTCAATATATTATTTCATTTACCATTTTACTTTGATTTCTCTGGGTATTGTATTATTTTCTAAAACTTATCCAACCGGTTCCATTTATATTCATAAGTCAGTAACATTTCACAATGGTAACGCAGAGAAACGTAACTCTAAAAGTAGAATAATAAAATGAAAATTAATGATTACCGACTGACCTTGATATCTTTGGCTTTCTTCATTCTGTCGTCGATCGCGTGGGATCTACGTTTGTCATGATGCCTTGTAACTGGTCTGGATGAAACGGATGACGTCGGCAACGACGAAACGGAACCATAACTAATAAGGCCTCTAGTCTTTCGTCTTTTCTTCACACTACCGCCAAGCAATTTCAACACCTAGAATTGTCAACGGCATGAAATTATTGCGACATCATAACAGAAAGGTGGTATAATATTTTTATCAAACTTAAACATTTATTTCGATGATGATTTATGATTATTCTTCATTTGAATTTCAAAATTATTGCAACAACATCACAAAAAGGTAGTACAATATTTTTATCAAGTTTAACCACTCACTTCGATGATGATTTATTATTATTTTTCATTTAAATTTCATTCAAAATTCAATTCGATCATAATGTATTATTATTTTTCATCCAACTTTCATAAGATTAAAAAAAGTAATCGGTGTACCGAATTTTAATTTTTGTATTTTCTTTTTATCGAATGAAACACTTCAATTTTATGAGATTTTTGTTAATCCTAATTTATCAATCAACGTGTTAAAAGTTACTTACTACTACTAATTTATTTATACATATACATTAGTTCATCATTTCTGCAGGTTCTTTAGTTATCTGAATTATTTATTAACATCGACTTATTTCATAGTAACATCGGATTTTAAGAAAATTACGATTCAAAAGTTTATTTTAATAAATATTCCATAAACTATTAATATATGCAAATTATTCAAAATATAGTTAAAGTATTTCAAATTACAGATTTTATTATGTAGGCAAACATTTGACAATATTTTCAAATTCGAATAAATATTCTTCATCTTCGATTTATGAGATACATATATATAAGTAATTGTTCCGTTTCATCTGAGGCATTCTGCGTATCATGAATAATAATGGTATCAAAAGCGAATAGAGATGCACCGTGTCCTTGGAAAAATATTATTCACGCTTGATGCCAACATGACTACATAATATGTTATCACAGCGTGTCAAACACCCGACAGAAAATTTCCTGCATGTTGAATCGGTCACAATGGCACCTTAAATTGGCTATCTCGTTCACATCCTTCTCAGCTGAATTTCTTTTTACAAGATATGCCAGAAGAATCCTGTTCGTCAAGGAGCTCTAACAAAGCTAGAAAATATGCAGCCAAGAATTTTAAGTGCATATTTAAAAATATCTATCAATGCAGATGTCACTAATTCTAAGCTGCCATATAGAAGAAACATCTTCATGAACCATTTGCAGATGAGAATTTTTCAAACTTTCGAAAACCTTTTTCATCGAACATCTGAGTTACGCATCAAAGTCTTAGAGGTACCAGAAAAAAAGAAAGCTACATATCAGTCTGTTGTTATTTGAATAATTAAATCATTCATTAGGAGCATTCATTTAACTTTGTCAAAATCATTTCAAACGATAAATTCAAGGTGATTTATACACCGTTCTTAAATTTATATAAAGATGGTATTTAATAATTGTTCATAAACCTAACTGTTGCTATATAAGCATAAGATTAAAGAATAAATAATCATAGTTTAAGAATTAAAAATTCCCAGAGTCAAATTTTTACATTATGCAATGATATATAATCTTTCGTATTGCTTAACCAATTAACTGCGTTTGACGAGTATACGCGACATCTTAAAGCTTGAAATGCTACTAATTCTCTTAACGAAGAATTCTTTATTTTTTTCAGATAAACATGTAATTCTTCTTCATTGCGCTTTGGTTTTTCATAAAAATATATGCTAAGTGCATTTGTCCTGTGTTTGACGAGTACACTTAACTTTTTTTCATTTTATCGCGCGCAAAACGAGGAACATTCAAAACTAAATTTTAATTTTAATTTAGTATATAGAAACCCTTAGTTAACAAATTGATTAAATATCTCTATAAAAAGAAATCCAGTATGTTCAAATCGGCGGGTGACAAATCGAATTAATAACTGTTGCCAATAATTTGATGATTTAATAAATCGGTAAACAATGAATTACCACTCGATAAAGATAATTTCAACTCGTTTGGACGATAAAACTCATTTTATATCGCACTCAAAGTATATCCCACCTCGCTGTACATATTTTCCAAGCCTTCCAATTGCTTTCTGATGGTCCTCGCGTCATTCGTGCTTAAATCGGAGTCACTTCTGTCGAGCATGGAGTCTAAGTCGAGGCCAGTCGTCGTGGAAGTTAAATCTGCCGCTTCCACGCCAAAAACTGGAAGATTAACGTTTTCGTAACATCGGTTAAGGGATGGTGGAGGGGGGCAATTGAAAATAAACATTCGAAAAGGGAAAAAGGTACTCACGATGAGAAAACTTTTTCGCAGCTTCTTTCCTGGATATAGAGGCGCCACGATGCTTCGAACTGCTCGAGAATCCTCTCTTTTCCATGACCTTACTGTAATCGCTGTAATTAGGTTTCGATCCGTATGGTAAGCTAAGGGACCCAGAAACATGCAATTGTTACAGCTACTAAGAAAGTTCCGGAAGTTGGTTAATTATTACAAAGGTGTTCGAGTGTGTTCGGTAATTAGCTTACGCAGCGTGTCCCCGCTTAAACGTAACGGAACATGATTCGTTAACACTATTTTTACGGATGGTGTGAAAAGAGACTTTTTAGAATTTTTTACTGAAAATTATTTTCTGAGTTCGAACATGTTTTCCTTAATTAGTTTTTCGACTTTTCATGTCATAATGATAACATTAATTTAACGGTATACGTTTTTGGTAAATTGTGTTGAATTGTTTATTAGACTATATTTACGTCTTGGTAAAAATAGTGTTAAACCGTTGTATACACGAGAAAATATTTATATAGAAGTTTCGATATCATTAATTTCGAGGATATGTGTGAGTTTTGTTCTTTAAGAGAAACTATTCATTTTTTTAATTTATTTTTAGTTGCTGCTTTTGCAAATCGAGAAGTTTAATTGATTGTTAAATATATATTAGATACATTTGGTTTTGAATATTTCCGAGGTATTCATAGATTTGTATGTTTCATTGAGAAAAATAATTTTTACAGTCAAAATTATTCCAAGTTAAATATAAATGTATTGATAAACAATATTCAGTATTTAGCATGTATTATTGAACTTCAGCCCATTATATAACACTAAAATTATTAGATAGACATACAATCCACTTTGCATCTCTATTTTCTATAATTATAATTATAATTTTCCAACAATTATTTGAAAAACCCAAGACATTTCGGAAAAATGATTAAATAAATTCCAGCACCATACAACTTCCATATAAAAATTCTTTCATACATACAATAGCTTAAGCAATAATTGCACACTACTTTGAGTTTACATTGCCAACTGTTAATAGCACAGCATAAATACATTATTACAATATTAAGCGGAAATAAAGTTAGAACATTGAACTTTACGTAGTATCATTATAAGACGTTAACAGTTCCAATAAAGTAGTAAATATAAATCTTTGATAAATTGCATCCACTGAAACTTCAGTAGATTTACAATTCAGTTTGCGTATTGCCAAATCAATTTCTTTAACAACTTCCCAAAAGAGCATCTCCTATATTTTTGACACTAGGTTTACAGACATTTATCGTACAGTTTATTTTATTGGTGTCAGACAACTCGATGTTCATTCATTCAGATTTTGGAAATTAGAAGTTTAGGGATTAGACAATTAAACTACACATTTAGATTATTGCACCAATCAAAATCGGCGTGAACAGTCACTAAATAATGTTTATAAAATTCAGTATGCATCAGAACGACGCGTTCCGTAAACCTAGTATTAACAATCGCTAAAAGAAGAAATCAGGTATAAGTGACTTTGATCCGTTCGGTAGTTCTACTGTTAAAGGGCAAGTTTTTACAGGAACTAGAAGTTTAACGTGTCGATAAAAAACATGACACACTTTTCAAAGAGGTCGCAACAGGTTAAACGTTAGTAATGTTAAGCGAAAAACGGTAAGCTTACAAAGTAAATTCACTCGGTTCAGCCCTACGCGAACCATGCTTTTCCCTCTCCCCGTAACAGAAAAGAGCTTCTGGTTGTCTGCTTTCGACAGTGTGATCGGTTCGCTGGTTGGACAGACGGTTATCGATATTTCGATCTACTCGATGAGGAGAATGAATCGGAAGCAACCCGGGGCAGTGACCGGAAGTGACATCAGTTACGAGACGAAGAGATCTGTTGGAAGTAACGTTACCTCGCTGAGTATCGATTTCTCGGTGTTCTGGGACTTTCATGGGGCGAGAGCGGCGGCAATGGTGGCGTCACCGATGATACGCTTTCAGATAGCGTGGAATGCGCCATCGCGGGGACGTCTTTTGGTTCTAAAATGCTCCTTAATTCCGTTTCCACTACGTCCACCCATTCGGAGTCTTGCACTGTTGCAAATGGAAAAAATAAGAAATTTAGTTTACTTCTTTATCATATGGAGGGCTCGGAATTGAATCGATGCAAATCAGTGTCGTTTTATAGGGTTTAATTTCTTGTCCTATGATCTCTTTGTCAATTGTGATCGGCACAAGTACTTTGTTACTAATAATTTATTACTAAATTACAGTAATAATTAAGGTTTTTGCTGTGTATTATTTGAAACAAGCGATAAAGGGAAAATTCTAGGGATATTCTATATCTTTCGTTTGCTCTAACGTAGAATAATTGGTAACAGGAAGGTAATATGTAATTTCAACTTAAATGAATTGAGTAATATTTATGGTTGTTAAATTCTGTTTGAAATCTTCGCCCCGAGTCTGACAGGATATTCTACGGCAAGGGGTTCAGGAGATTTTATCGTTAAAGCTTTGAGCTGATGAAGCAATTGGAGTATTACTTGCAGAATTGAGTTATGAAGGTAGTAACGTGATTGTATTATTAATCGGAAGTTTTAATAATGGAAAGGTTCTTTTAACGTTTGAAACGAAAATGCGAGCTGCACTGTATAAGTTTTGAACTCTTTTAGGGTTTGTTGCTATTGATGTGGTTACGAAATCTTTCAAATCTTTATTTTTCTCATGTTATTTTATCTGTATCCTAGAATTAGTGAAATTCACTCTTCTCTATCTGAATCCGTTTATTAAGATATTGATTCACTTATATTTCCCTTTTGCTTATTGAAATTACTTAATATTAATATACCGTAGCAGATAAAAAATGTTACAGTGGAAGCGACACAAAAAGAATAATACTTTTATTCTATTGATTTTTAAAACATTTCCAATATTTCCTCAGACAATAGCACCAAAGCATTATCAAGATAATATGATGATTTACGCGATACTTTCATTAATATCTCGTCGTTCATAAATTTAAATATTGATTTACGAGACTATATATCTTCAGTTCAAAATCATAGCGGTTGATTTATGAATTGCTAAACACTCAGCAAACACTGTTTTCAACCAATGAATGATTGTTTCTTTTTTCTTCATCCAATCCATTTTACGAAAGAATTATCGTTTTAACATTTTGATTTGAAATTTTCCTTAACTTTCCAAACACTCAATTATTAAGTCAAACATATTTTTTTTTGTTTCCGTGGGATACATTTTTAACCGTGATTAAAATTCCATGTTTCGACATTTTATTCAAATGTTAATTCCTTTTCTCAATTTCTAACCATTAATTACCTTATCTGCTTATTAATATTCATTTTTCTATTATTCTGATTTATCAATGAATATAAAAACACAACTGAATATAAGTATCAATAAAAATATAAAGACAACATGTTAACGAGTAATTTAGAACCTACTGTCCCCTCCAACTATAAAATGAACACTTTTAATTATTCAAATATGCAAAGTAACTATAAAATTTGTTATCAGTTTCGAATGAGTTCTCTTAAGTCGCATACGATTTCGAGGAGTCGTTGTTTAATTTAGGAAGGTCGGCGCGCATAATTATTTACGGGTGGCTGGATTCCTTGGCCGAATCGATCAACGAGGAGAGCGAACGGGTTTATTCAGAGCGAACAAAACGGGGAACTAGCATAATGTCTTGCAAACTACTCTCAAGTATGCTCACTTTTAACCTAATTCAAAAGTTTTACTATTTTCCATTATATTTCTGTTTGAATCTATCAATATTTAGTTGCACAGAATAATTGATCGAATAACTATTAGTTATTAAAGATTGATATATATATATATATATATATATATA